GTGAGATCATGACCTGAGCCAAAGTCAGACGCTTAACTGACTGAGCCACCCAGGCGCCCCTCAATAATTCCTTTGACGTCAGCTATAGAAAACCTTTTTCTAGATATGTCTCCTTGGGCAAGAAAAACAAAAGCAAAATTAAACTATTGGGACTACACCAAAATAAAAAGCCTTTGTATAACAAAAGAAGCCACCAATTGAACACATAGGCAACCTACTGAATGGGAGAAGATATCTGCAAATGAGTACAGGTTAATCTGATAAGGGGTTTATATCCAAAATATATAAAGAACTTATACAACTCAACACCACAAAGCCCACAAATGATCCAATTAAAAATGAGCAGAGGACCCGAATAGATATTTTCTCAAAGAAAACATCCCGAGGGCCAACAGACACATGAAAAGATGCTCAACATTACTAATCATTAGGGAAATGCAAATTAAAACCAGAATAAGATATCACTCTACACCTGTCACATGGCTAAAGTCAAAAACACAAGAAATAACAAGTGTTGGCCATGATGTGGGGAAAAAGAAACTCTCAAGCACTGTCGGTAGAAATGCAAATTGATGCAGACACTGTGGAAAGCAGTACGGAGGCTCTTTAAAAAATTAAAAATAGAATTATCATGTGATCCAGTAATTCCACTACTGGGTATTTACCCAAAGAAAATGAATGAAAACACTAATTCAAAAAGATATATGCACCCCTATGTTTATTGCACCATTATTTATACTAGCCAAGATATGGAAGCAACCCAAGTATCCATCAAGTGATGAATGGATAAAGATGTGGTGTATATATACACAATGGAATATTACTCGGCCATAGAAAAGAATGAAATTTTACCATTTGCAACAACATGGATGAAGCTAGAGAGTATAATGCTAAGTGAAATAAGGCAGAGAAAGACAAATACCATATGATTTCACTCATATGTGGGATTTAAGAAGCAAAACAAATAAAGAATAAAAAAGACCAAAAAAACCCCCTAGACTCTTTAAAAAATTTTTTTAAATTTTTTATGGTTTTTATTTATTTTTGAGGGAGAGAGAGAGACAGCGTGAGCAGGGGAGGGCCAGAGAGAGAGGGAGACACAGAATTCGAAGACAGGCTCCAGGCTCTGAGCTAGCTGTCAGCACAGAGCCTGACGTGGGCCTTGAATCCACAAACCGCGAGATCGTGACCTAGCCGAAGTCAGATGCTTAACTGACTGAGCCACCCAGGCGCCCCTTAACATTTTTTCTAAGTTTATTTATTTTGAGAGGGAAAGTGGGAGAGGGTCAGAGAGAGAGGGAGAGACAGAGAATCTCAAGCAGGCTCTGCGCTGCCAGTGTGGAGGCCCACGCGGGGCTTGAACCCATCAGCGGTGAGATCATGACCTGAGCCAAAACCAAGAGTTGGGTGTTCAATCGACTGAGCCACCCAGGTGCTCGTAAACCCCCCCTAAACTCTTAAATATAGAGAACAAACTGGTAGTTGTCAGAGGAGAGGTGGGTGGGGCGATGGGCAAAATGAATGAAGGGGATTAAGAGTATGCTTCTCTTGATGAGTACTGACAAAGGCATAGGATTGTTGAATCATTATATTGTATGCCTGAAACTAATATAACACTATGTCAATTATACTTCCATAAAAAATAAATAATAAAGATTACAGTGGAAATAAATGAAACAGAAAATAGAAAAACCATACAGAAAAATCAATGAAACCAAAAGTTGGTTTTTTGAAAAGATCAACAAAATTGACAAAACTTTAGCTTAAGAAAGAAAAGAGAGAAAAAATAATTATTATTATTATTATTACATTTATTAATGCTTTAAATGTTTATTTATTTTTGAGAGAGAGTGAGAGAGAGAGTGTGTGAACAGGGGAGGGTCAGAGAGTGAGGGAGACACAAAATCCAAAGCAGGCTCCAGGCTCTGCGTTGTCAACACAGAGCCCGACGCAGGGCTCGAATTCACAAACCGTGAGATCATGACTTGAGCTGAAGTTGGACGCTTAACCAACTGAGCCACCCAGGCGCCCCAAGAGAAAACATTATTAAAACAAGGAATGAGGGGAACCGAGATGACTCAGTCAGTTAAGCATCCGATTCTTGATTTCGGCTCAGGTCATGATCTCATGGTTTGTGAGTTTGAGCCCCTCACCTGGCTCTGCACTGATATTGCAGAGCCTGTTTGGGATTCTCTTTCTCCCTCTCTCTCTGCCCCTCCTTTCCCCTCAAAATAAATAAATAAACTTAAAAAAAAAGGAATGAAAGAGGGCCATAACTAGTAACCTTATAGAAATGGAAAGAATTTTAAGAGAGTACTATGAATAATTATATGCCAACAAATTAGAAAATCTAGATGAAGGGAACAAATTCCTAGAAAGACAAACTACCAAAGCTAAAGAACTGAAAAATCTGAATAATGCTATAAGAAATGAAGAGATTGGATGAGTAATAAAGAAACTGCCTACAAAGAAATGCTCAGGACTAGATATCTTCACCGGTGCATTCTACAAATATTTAAAAAGGATTAACACCAATCTTTCACAGCTCTTCCCCAAAAGAGAAGAGAAAGGAACACCGTCCATCTCATTCTGTGAGGCTACTATTACCCTGATAGCAAAATCAGACAAAGATGTCATAAGAAAACTACAGATCAATATCCTTTATGATTATAGATACCATAATTCTCAATAAAATACTAACAAACTGAATCCAAAAAAAGATTAGACACCGGACCAAGTGAGATCTGGTCCAGGTATGCAAATGTGGTTCAACTTGCATGGAACTCTAGTCATGTAATACACCATATTCATAGAATAAAGTGGGGGGGAACCCTATAGGATCATATCATTAAACAGAGAAAAAAACATTTGAGAAAGTTCAACATCGTTTCGTGATAAAATTACACTCAACAAACTAAGAATAGAAGGGAACGTTGTCAACACTTAGGCAGCAGTTAATATATGCCAGATGCACTGTTCTTTTTTTTTTTAATGTTTATTTATTTTTGAGAGAGAGAGGGAAAGAGACAGAATGTGAGCGGGGAAAGAGGGCAGAGAGAGAGAGGGAGACACAGAATCTGAGGCAGGCTCCAAGCTCTGACAGTTCAGAGCCCGATGCAGGGTTTGAAATCACGGACCGCAAGATCATGACCTGAGCTGAAGTCGGACGCCTAATGGACTGAGCCACCCAGGGGTCCCCAGATGCACTGTTCTAACCAATTTAATTCTCACACCAACCTTATGAGGCAGGAGCTATTATTACCCGCATTTTGCATACGGGTAAACTGAGGCCCAGAGCATGAAGTTATATTTCCTATGTTAGGAAGCTAGTAAGTTGTAGATCTAAGATTCCAATATAGAAATTCTGGCTAGAGTCCATGCTCTTACCCACAGTCAGCTATCCTGTTTCTCAAAGAATGTGGAATAATAATAATGGCAGACAAATTGGGTTTCCTAAGAACTAATGACTTGATCTTCATCTGTAAGTAAACTTTATTCATAACATTGTTAACTTATATCAGTAACCATAATTTGTAATACCAATAAGAATTTTTAATATTAAATCCAATGTTTATTTAACCAAGTTGGTTATTTAACCAAAGTTGGGTCAATATTGATATTTAAGTGTAAATTTAATTCACAAAAGTGGTGATTATTTACATAAGCAAACATAATTTATAATGTTGTTAAAAGTTTGTAAAACCCATTGTAAAATTTGGTGGCATCAGTAATGGTGATTCAATTTCTATTTGTGACTAAAATTTGATTCATAACTGTGGCACTCATAATTTATATTAGTAATCATTATTTTAATATTAGTAAATATTCCTAATATAAATTGGAGTGTTTACCGTATCAGTGATGATCTCTATTAGAAACTATCAGAAAATTCAAAACATAGTTACTTGTAATTTATATTAGTAATCTTAATGTATAATATTGGCAATAATTTGTAATAGCATTTTACAACATACTAATAGTTTAATTTCTCATTTATATGCAAATCTTAATTTGTAACACTGATAATAAATTGTAATATTAGTTATAATATTTGATGATGTTAGTAATGATAATGTAATTTCTATGAAGTATAATTCAAAACAGAGACTTATAATTTATATTAGAGCATAATTTGTAATATTGATAATTTATAATAATAGTTATAATCTCTGATGACACTAGTAATGATTATTCACTTTCCGTTAGGAACTATACTTTGATTCATAACATTAGTACTCAGAATTTACATCAATAACAGTAATTTGTAGTATTAGTGGTGAGTTGTAATATTAGTGATTGTATTTTATGATAATAGTGACCAACAATTCAGTCGCTATTTGTAAACAGTTTAAATAGTATTTTTTAAATGTTTATTTATTTTTGAGAGAGAGAGACAGAGTATGAGTAGGGGAGGGGCAGAGAGAGAGAGGGAGACACAGAATCCGAAGCAGGCTCCAGGCTCTGAGCTGTCAGCACAGAGCCCAACGTGGGGCTCAAACTCACTGAATGGCGAGATCATGACCTGAGCCAAAGTCGGATGCTCAACTGACTGAACCACCCAGGCGCTGGGCTCTTTGTAAACAATTTAATTTCCAACATTGCCACTGATAATTTTGATTGCCAATCCTAACTTGAAACATTGGTAACATTTCTGTTGGGAAGAATATTTGATAATATTAGTAGCAATGACTTGCTTTCTATACGTAGTATAATCTGATTCATTACAGTAGATCTGTTTGTTGTCATTAGAAGTCGATTTTTAATACTGGTGAGAAAAGATACTATAAGTATCAGGATCAATGATGCAAATCACCCTTGTAAGCACATAAGTAAATTCATGGTATTCATAAACCCTGTCGCGAAGCAGCTTCACTCTCCACACACACACACACTGGCTGCACTGGCTGACAGCATGCCACTGGTAACATCGCCACTGGCGATCCTGGCGCAGTAAGCACGATGCTTCTCCCTCCTGCCCAACCTACTTCCCCCAGACTCACCATCTCCTTGTGATTGGGGTAGAAGGTCTGATCGATCAGAGGGAATTCCTCTGTCCCCAGTTTCTTGTGCAATCGAACCATCTGGGCGAACTATGAGAGAACCAGGAGAGATGGGTCATCAAGGCTTTCTCACCTGGACAGTCTCCAAGCTTGAGATTCCAGGCTTCCCAACTTTCTCAGTGCCCCGCCCCCCCCCCCCCCCCCCCCCCCCCCCCCCCACCGCCCCAGATCACAGTGATTTCGAGCTCCCACGTGCATGCGTGCATGAGGCTTTTCCAGTAGCACCCTTCCGGTCACTTACCACCCAGGGCTTGTCACAGAAGTTGTAGACAGAATGCAAAGAGTTAACACTGGGGACTCCAGCGTACTGCAGCCCGATGACCAAACTGCGGTAGTCTCCATTCCGAGCCATGCTGAAGGCGTGCTGACGGATCAGCACAAAGTCCGGTTTCAGAGACCTGGGGTGGCAAGGGTAGAAGTGTCAAGGGTACCCCCCAAAAGCTCCCCATCACCCTCAGAACAAAAACCAAGTTTCTAAATCCCCACAGCTCCTAGAAATGGTAAAGAAAGTGCTTGCTCACCGCAGCACATGTGCCCTTTCCCCACCTGGTGACCCCCTTAAGCCTTTCCTGCCTGCTCCTCTCCTTGCCGAGGTCAGCTAGCAGCCTACAGGCTCAGCTCTGACAGCATCCTGGTCACAGTCTCTCAGATCATTAGCTGTCCTCAAAGGATGCTGCCCAGAATAAATTCCAGCCTCAGGGCCTCCACACTGGCTGTTCCCTCTGCCTGAATCATTTTCCCTGCTAGATACCCCCACATAGCTCTCCTTCACCTCCTTTGGGTCTTTCCTCAAATGTCTCTTACAACATTGGGCTGCCTTATCCCAAACTGCAGACCCCTCCGTCATCTAACTATCCCTATATCCCTTTGCTGCTATATATTTTTCTTAGCACCTTTACATTTTCTTTTGTTTTAATGTTTGTTTATTTTTTTTTTATTTTTTAATTTTTTTCTTATATAGTTTATTGTCAAGTTGGTTTCCATGTAACACCCAGTGCTCATCCCCACAAGTGCCCTCCTCCATGCCCATCTCCCCCCTTCCCCTCTCCCCTACCCCTATCAGCCCTCAGTTTGTTCTCAGCATTCAAGAGGCTCTCATGGTTTGCCTCCCTCCCTCTTCCCAACTATTTTTCCCCTTCTTCTCCCCCATGGTCCTCCATTAAGTTCCTCCTAATCCACCTATACGTGCAATGTTTGTTTATTTTTAAGAGAGAGAAAGGGTGCATGCGCAAGCAGGGAAGGGGCGGAGGGAGGGGGACAGAGGATCAAAAGCTGTCAGCACAGAGCCCGATGTGGGTTTGAGGCCCACATTGGGCTCTCTGGTATTGGTACAGAGCCCACTTCAGATCCCCTCTCTCCCAACTCGCGTGCTCTCTCCCCCCTCTCAAAAATAAATAAATTTTAAGAAAGAAAGAGAAATATTTGCTGCTTTAATAACTAAAACGTTTGGCTTGTGGTCTGCTAGGATCCTTGGCTCTGCAGAAGACAAATTATCTTCCCACAATATGTTCCTAATTTTTTTTAATTGACATATAACATTGTATAAGTTTAAGGCATAAAACATGTTTCTCTCTCTCTCACTCTCTCTCTCTCTCTCTCTCTCACACACACACACACACATTAATGCTTTTTTTTTAATGTTTTTTTAAATTTATTTCTGAGAGACAGCGTGAGCAGGGGAGGGTCTGAGAGAGAGACACAGAATCTGAAACAGGCTCCAGGCTCTGAGCTAGCTGTCAGCACAGAGCCCGACACGGGGCTTGAACCCACAAACCGCGAGATCATGACCTGAGCCAAAGTCGGACGCTTAACCGACTGAGCCACCCAGGCGCCCCATTAATGCTTATTTTTGAGAGAGAAAGACAGAGACCGAGCACAAGCAGGGAAGGGCAGAAAGAGAGAGACAGAGACACAGAATCAGAAGCAGTCTCCATGCTCCAAGCTGTCAGCACAGGGCCTGATGTGGGGCTCGAACCCACCAGCTGTGAGATCATGACCTGAGCTGCAGTTGGACGCTCAACTGACTGAGCCACCCAGGCGCCCCGACACACTTATATATTGTAATATGATTGCCACTGTAGCGTCATTTAGCACTTCTATCATGTCACACAATTATCATTTCCTTTTTGTTGTAGGAATAATTAAGATCTAGTTTCTTAGTAAGTCTGATAATTATGATACTATATTGTTATCTATGTTCACTGTACCATGCATTATATCTCCAGGGCTTAATTATGTGCCAGTTGCAAGTTTATGCCCTTAAACATCTCTCCTATTCTACCACCACTCAGCCTCTGGCAACTGTTTTACTCTCTGTTTTTATGAGTTTGGCTTTTTTATATTCCATAGGCAACAGATAATCACACAGTATTTGTCTTTCTCTGCCTGATTTCTCTCACTTGCCTCAAGGTCCATTCATGTTGTTGCAAATGGCAAGATTTCCTTCTTTCTCATGGCTGAGTAATATTTCATAGTATATTCAGACTACGTCTTCTTTATCCATTCAGTCACCAATGGGCACTTAAGTTGTTTCCATATCTTGGCTATTGTAATATAGCTAAATTCTTGCTCACAGAAAACTGGATAGGGAGGTGGAGGATTCTCCCTCGGCTCTAAGGGAGTACTTATGCCTCTCCCATAACACAAAATTAGCCTTTTTCTACTTACCGCACGACCTTCACCCCATTCCGAAGAACTTCCATGTCCACGGAGAATCCACCATTGGCATGAGCCACGAGGTTGAGATCAGAGAATTCAGCCTAGGAAAGAGAAAAAAAATTGGGGATTCGGCCACATCCCAAAAAATCCAGTTTTCAATCTGGACAGCTGACTCCCAGCTCCATCTGCCCCGACTAACCTGTTCTACTTTAATGTCAATTTCTCCATGGATCTTTTTCCCTTTGAAGTATTTTGCCCTGGAGAGAAAAAGCAGAGCACATCCATCAATCTCAGGAAGACAAAACCCAGGCCAGTCCTTTGACCCTTTGGCCCCTCCAGTGCTACTAGAGAAACCATAACGTGCTTCACGATTGTTGAAACACTTTGAAAAGCTCAACAGTGCTTTATGAACGATAAAGTCTGTTGTAGTCCTCATGGAGGCATGTCAATGTCAAGGGATGAAGCGAACTGTAAAAATAAGTCCTTAAACCGCGGGGGGCAGGCAGGCATTCCGCAGAGTAGGGTCTGCTCATCACTTTGCTACCATAAATGTTTTTGAGAAAAGTGCTGCAAAATGAGGAGTGCTTTGTAAGCCGTAACATACCTGGAAATTGCATGGAGGTTCATAAATGGCAAAAAACCTTAGAGAATCCATATATGTGAAGTGTGCCGGGCTATGTCTCAGTGCCTGTGTCTGCTTGCGTGACCTGAAGCATCTCTCTGCTCCCTGGCCGTTTCCCGTGGAGGGGCACATTTGCCACGTGGGGCTGTGTGCTATGAGGGACGCAATGGTGGGTGGGCAGCTATATAAAAAAGGAGGAGCAGATTGAGGGTGCAGGCTGGTGGTGGTTCTAAGAAGCCAGAGCCAGCAACGATGGGGGTGGGGAGGGATGCAGCTGAGGACAAGGGGAAGCCATATGAGGGAAGAGGGGTAGGAGCAGCAGATGTATCATGGACCGCCATGTCACTATCCTCGGGCCCACCCCCAGGTGCGCTTGATTTCCAGTGGCCTCCTCCCCCAGGCTCAGGATTCCTACCAGACAGGCTTCTCGACCCACGGAAGCTCATCTCCAGTCATACATGGGGGCTGAGGAAGGGAGCCACTCCCAGGGTTACCGCTATGCACACATTCAGGGTCTCTGACACATACGCACAGCACAAGCAGGCCCTAGTGACATCACCAACATACCCCCAAAGACCCCAAGCACAGCCGTTTTCTCCTCTCCCTCTCTCTCTGTCCCAACCCCTCTCTCCCTCTGTGTCTCTCTCTCACTCACACACACACACACACACACGCACGCACGCATGCACACACATACACTCCATTACTGACACTGTCCCCTCACAAGCGTTGGAAGGGAATTTCTCTGAGACCTGCACATTTTTCATTTATAAAATAATGATGAGTGTAGGCTATATCACTATCTTTCAAACTTTTTTGACCATAAGCGTAGTGAATACTGTGGCGCTCTGCTCAAATCTCCTCTTCAGGGCCAATGCACCCTGAATGTCAGCTGTTGACAGCTTATGGCTATGTCCTGCCGAGAACTGTCTTCTGTCATAGGGAACTGCCTTGGCCACAGTTACACCTACTTCAGGTGGCCCATGTCTTTTTTTTTTTTTTAATATTTTTTAATATTTTTTATTCATTTCTAGGGGAGAGAGAGAGACAGTGTGAGCAGGGGAGGGTCAGAGAGAGAGGGAGATACAGACTCTGAAATAGGCTCCAAGCTCCGAGCTGGCAGTCAGCACAGAGCCCGACGCGGGGCTCGAACCCACGAACCGCGAGATCATGACCTAAGCGAAAGTCGGACGCTTAACCCACTAAGCCACCCAGGTGCCCCAGCCCATGTCTTACATCTGGTTGATGAGTACAAAGGCTGGCCTCTTTGCCTCCATAGAGGCTGACTCTGAAGGACCATCCCAGCCCCAGAGGTCCCTCTAGGGTCAGCTAAGGCCTCTGGCACAGCTGTACTGGGGACCAGCTTCTTCTTCTGCCCAACCGTATCCCCTCCCAGGTATTGCTCCCAAAGGCACTCCCCAGTAAGCCTCCTGCATACTAATACCTGCCTCAAACTCTCTTTCCAGAGAACCCAACCTAAGACTGTGAGCCAGAGATGTCAAACTACAAAAAAAAGACTCTACTGCCCTTCTGGAACTGGGTCACCCAGCGGCCAGCAGGCAATGAGGAACCATCATTTGTGGGGGGTGGGGCACAGATAGCCCATAACACACTGTAGCAACAGAAAGCGCTCTGCAGCAGGTCCGGGCTGTGTGCAAGCAGGATGCCACTTGAACCATATGATCTGGCGGCTCCCATGATGCCAGGGGTGTCAGTAGTGCGAAGAGATGCAGCGTGGAGTTTATTCTCGTGAGTGTGAGACTTACAGTGTGGGTCCCTGGGCTTTGGGGGTAGAGGTAACTTTTACTGACGGTGAACTGTAATGAGATACTGGTGGAAGGGGCTGTGCCAGTTGGTGAAATATCCCTGGTACATAAGGTGTGAGGGAAATGGTAACCAGGCTTGGGTGACTATTTGCTAAACACCATTGATTAGCTGAAGAAAGATCTGACACGTTCAGGGTGAATAATCACTAATTCAAAGTGCAAAGTGAAAGCCAGGGGATCCTCTTGGCTCCATTTAAAGGAAGCCCAATCTTCTGCAACTGGAGGGCAGACAGAGGGGAAGACCAGGCTTCAGACATAATCAAAAGTGTAGCCGAACCTCAAAGAAGGTTGAATTCTCAGGCCCAGGATATCTCCTGTGCCATGCTCAGGGCCCTAATGGGACACGAGTGAAGCTCTGAAACTTGAGGTGGGGATCTCTGGGAAGATGCATGTAACACCCTGAACTTATTGATTCACCTGAACCCACTGGGCCTGCAGAAGTAGCCCATTCCTCCTTGTTAGAATATAAACCTTCCATGGGGCGCCTGGGTGGCTCAGTTAGTTAAAGTTCTGACTTAGGCTCAGGTCATGGTCTCACGGTTCGTGGGTTCGAGCCCCACGTCGGTCTCTGTGCTGACAGCTAGCTCAGACCCTGGAGCCTGCTTTGGAATCTGTACTTCCTCTCTCTCTGACCCTCCCCTGCTCATGCTCTCTCTCTCTCTCTCTCTCTCTCTCTCTGAAATAAATAAAACATTTAAAAAAATAGAATATAAACCTTCCTTCAACTTGAAGATAATACAGAGACCTCAAATGAAGCAGGCTCCTTATAAAACAATGCTTGCCCCTTTCAAAATCTACCCCCCTCTCATCTTAGCAACCGGATCAATAAGCAGGGTCAAATCCTAGCACATCTGAATGGAGAAGTTCTAAGCCTGCAAAAGACGGAAAGAAACAACACTTAGAGGCTGAAAAATCTGGCCATTACGTATTGGCAGGAGCTATAAAAGTATGCATGAATCTGGGTCCTAAGGACAATGGATCAAAGAAGTGGAACATGAAGTTGGAGCACTCTCCCAGGAGGCCCTAAAACCCTGGCAAGGACCGTAGGAGGTGTTGCTGATACACTGCTGGATGACTTGTGGGAGCTTGGAAAAAACAATGGTCCACACCAAGTGACACAGAAATGCCAAATCTTCCATGGAGGATTGTGGAGGAAAGGATCAAAGGACTCAAAGAAGCAGATATGTTACAGAAGATATACTATATAAGTCTAGAAAACTCATCAGATGACTATGTTCTATGGGAGGGCCCAGAGGATCTACCCAACTTAAAAAATCATTAAGGAATATGCTAGTGAGAGTGCACGAGCCATGCTGAGAAGCACAGTAGTGGTAAGGTAATACATGAGGACCTGTCCCCAGTCCTGCTCACAGTGGGTCCACTGGGTCCACAGGTCCACCCAGTGGTCACTTCCTCAGTTCACAAATGCATAACTAAAATGGACAGACCTGGGGGTTCCTGGGTGGCTCAGTTGGCTAAGCATCGACTCTTTCGATACTGGCTCAGGTCATGATCTCACGGTTTGTGAAATCGAGCCCCGCATCGGGCTCTGCCCTGGCAGTGCAGAGACTGCTTGGAATTCTATCTCTCTCCCTCTCTTTGCCTCCTCCCCTCCCAAAATAAATAAATAAACATTTTCAAAATAAAATAAAACTGACATATCTGTAGTTGTCAGAACCCCTTCATGGGTTCCTTAGCTTGTGGGGAAAGAGTTATTGTAGTGGGTATGTCCAAATGGATGCCGCTGAAACTACACACCCACCCCTCCCCTGATCAGATCAGTAAATCAAAGATAATATTATGTCTATCCTAAGGGTGATAGTGGAAACTCATCTTACTTTGTTGTTTTTAAAAATTTTTTTTAATGTTTTCATTTATTTGTGTGTGTGAGAGAGAGACAGCGTGAGCAGGGGAGGGGCAGAGAGAGAGGGAGACACAGAATCTGAAGCAGTCTCCAGGCTCTGAGCTAGCTGTCAGCACAGAGCCCGATGCGGGGCTCAAACCCATGAACTGTGAGATCATGACCTGAGCTGAAGTCAGATGCTTAGCTGACTGAGCCACCCAGGTGCCCCAAAACTAGTCTTACTTTGAAAAAGCTAACGGATGTAGGGGTGTTAGTCCCATCGCGTCTCCACTGAATTAACCAGTTTGGATCCTGCTGCAAGCTCGACCAAGTATTATCCCTGACTGAAGCTGCTATACCGGACCTGCTGCCATTGGGAAAGCAGACCTCGGGTGCGGCAAGTGGCCATTGACTTAGTGAATGCACTTTCTATTCTGATCAGAAAAGAGGATCAGACACATTTCACATTCACATGGGACTGAAAACAATATTTGTTTATGGTCTTGCCAAAGGGCGATGCTACCTTTCTCATCCTGTGTCATCATACAGTCCAAAGGGACTGGACCATCTGGACGGACGTCCCACAGAATATCACACTGGACTACTCTACCAATTACATCATATTGATTGGGCGAGATGAGCAAGAGATGATTAGCACCTTGTCTTGCCAAGACCCGGGCACTCCAGAAGGTAGGAGAGAAACCATAGAAAGACCCAGGGGTCTACCACCTTAGTAAACGTTTTAGGGATCCAGTGGTCCAAGCATGCCGGGACAACCCCTTTCAAATGGTAGGGCAAACATTGCATAAGGGGAAAAAAGCACAACACTTAGAAGGCCTCTTCAGGTTCTAGAGGCAGCGCATCCCACAGCTGTAAATACTGCTCTGATTCATATTCTGTGTGCAACATAAGGTTGCCTCCCCTGAATGGGGGCCAGAGCCGAAGGGCTCTGCAACAGGTCCAGGC